GTTATTTTCTCGCCTGGCGCGTCCGGCGCTTTCCCGCTCCTTCTCCTCCTCGCTCCTCCCTATCTGCGTGCCTGCTCTGCTTCTTCCTTCCCCTCCCGTCCCCCCTCCCCCCCGCCCTCCCCCCCTCCCTCCTTCTTTCTCTCTTGACCCCCCGGGCTCCCTCTTGATCGCGTCGGAACTCGCTCGCTTTTACTTTTTATCTGGTCCCCGTTCTCTCGTTGTTTCACTTGTGGTGAGAGGTGATGCTGTTCCATAGATGATTCGACGTTCGAGAATATTCATGTGCACTTGAAGTTTGGTCGAACGGCAGTAGTCATTTTTTTTTTTTTTTTTTTTTTTTTTTTATATATATTTTTTTTTTTTTAAAAAAAAAATAATAATAAAAAATATATATATGTATGATGTTTCAGAAGATGAGTAGGCATTTTTTTATAGTTGTAACCGATGTTACGACTACATAAGCACTTGATGTTACGGCGAAACAGAAACATTATATTTTAAGTATTTTGAATTTGTACAGGTAACCTAAATTCACAAGAGAGTCAGTTCAAATTGACGAAGACGATTATCGCAGTGGAAACAACAAAGTTCTTTCATTCTTCAAAATCCATACGCATCGCCAGCCAATATAATACTAATTGCAAACAAAGGTCAGAAACACTCGATGTTTTTGTTACCCGTGCATAGAAGGATGTTTCGGTTTCTGAAAGAGATGCAGTTCACTTAACCAAAAGATTCTTATTCTACCGATCTGATACATTGTTTGTTTTTCGTTCGAAACATGAATGCGTCATGGGATATAAAGCATTTATGTTGTCCATGGGAAATGAAAGAAGATGTGTTTTGAAGTGTTTTTTCCGTTCAGGGTGTTATCGGGGGTTCCAATCAGTTTTGTAATCGCACGCGTCCGTGAGAGTGATCGGCAGACAGGAATCTATGGCCAGTTCAAATTTTGTAAACAGCATACTAACATAGCGCAAGGAAGCGTCTAAATGGACACAGTATTTTCAATCGTTCAAGAAGTTTCAAGATGGCGTTCGATCATATGTTCGATCAAGAGTTCAATCGGGCGAATCATTTATATAATATTAGTAGAAAAATCAGAAGTGAAGGTTCGCAGAAGCCAGGTGATTGTTAGGTTCATACAATTTCGAAAAGTGAAGATTTATAGTTGAGTGAACACCAACATTATTCGAAACACAGTGTGTTTTGCTTGCGAAATTCGCATCGATGTCAGTTGTTGCATTTTTTTCTTTTATTTTCTTCTTCTTCTTCTTCTCTTCCCCCCCCTTTTTCCTTCCTTCTTCTTCCTCCTCTCCCCCCCCCGCTTTCTTCTTTCCCCCCCGACTGTTTTAATTACGTGTGTTTAATTGTTTTACATGCATCACTATATTTTTCCTGATGCTGTTTCGAGTGTGGTTTTCAGTATAAGTTCGCGAATATGATGCATGAATTTACGGGAGTACAGCGCTCGTGACTTGTAGAGCTTCCTTAACAGCGCTAGCGGTGGAGGTAGAAGAGTAATTCTGGCGCGCTGGGGGGCTAGTTCACAGATAATATCGACGGAAGTTGTTTTGGTTAAAAAATAAACAAGAGATTTCTCGAAATTCAGTCATTCGTTAGGGATCTAATATTTCCCCCCATATTCGATCCTTTTCCCGGTCGCCATGTTAATCTGAGGTCAATCGGGAACATATTACTTCCAAAACGCATGCAGGCGGCGCCGGTCTCTAGTGTCATTGTTGGCAGGTTTTGCTGGTTTTCTCAATTCGAACCGAGCTATATAAGAGTTACAGAGCTGGCAGGCACGCCCAATCCGTTTGGAAGCATCAGGCGCGTTAGTCCGAAGTATCTAGACGTCTGAATTCGGTTTGTTACCAGAGCTGGGTCCGCAAACCTCTTTTTTTGTTTCTGCTTCTTCTTCGAGGTCATGCTGAGTGTTTTTGAGTTCATTCGAGCTGCGTGGGCAATCGCGAATCCTCGGGCGCGTTAGTTTGAAGTATTCAGATGCTGGAACTCGGTCTGGTACCAGCGTTCGGCCCCAAAAACTATTATTTTTTTTTTCTTTTTTAGAGATGGTGTTTCTTTGGCTGAATTTGAGCTCGCGATGCTGTTCATCACACCAACAAGCAGGACATGATCAGAAGCGCCAGTGTAAAGTCCAAAATCCGTTTGCTACCAGAGCTTGGTCCGACAAAACTTTTCGTGCTCTGCTATTTTTTTCGGAGATTTTTTCTCTTCAGGTAACTCGAGCTGCAGATAAGCTACAGAGCTGTTCGGCACAGCAAGGAAATCATCAGACGCGCTAGTCTCAAGTATCTAGATGCCCAAACTCGGTCGGTTTCCAGAGTTAGAGCCACGCAACTTTTTTTTTTTTTTTTTTTTTTTTTTTTTTTTTTTTTTTTTTTTTTTATTCTCTCCTCAGAGATGACGACGCCTTTCTTGATCCTTTCTCCTTCTCTTTGTCCTGCTTTTCTCCTCTTCCTCCTTCTCTTCCTGGGCCTCTTCCATTTCTTTTTTCCTCGCTGCTTCTTCGTCTCCAGCCCTCCTCCATGAAAGCGCGCCCCCGCGCGCGCGGAACGCGAGATTGCCGCGCCCGCATTGCGTGAGAAAGCTCCCTTTGTTCACGATTTTAGGTTCGATGCGTTCGTTCCTGTGTAATCCAGGCGCCCAAGGCGCCCGAATCACCAAATCGGAAATATTCAAATTATTTGTTGAGAGATATTTACAGAAAACGGGCTCGTTAAAATCGGTCACATCGTCTTTTGCGTTGCGACGCGGCCGATAACTTGACCAAAATGTATGAAAGTCAACGTCTCTTGGAAACCAAGTTGATCCCAATGCGCACTTGTTTGTGGTCGTGGTAGAAGTTCTGCGCTTCTTGGTTACTGGCCGCCTGATCTTATCTGTATCCTTTTGTTTTATATTTGTCTGGGTATGCTGCAACCAACGATGTAAAACTACACCTTTTTCAAGTGGAAGGGCATTTAGTAAACTTATCATGCGCGCGCACTCTACAAATCGGTTAGAAATTGTGATACCACTTGATTCTGCTGAATCCAAATAAAGGTTATTCATAGCTGATGAGCGTCTTTGTCTTCGGCGTCTGCGAGCATACATATGGGCCGAAAAGACGCATCTGGGGCTCTTGTGATTTTTTCTTGCCACAATCCCACAGGTCCTAGAACGCCGAGCGATAATCCATGCTGGTTCCTGTTGAAAGTGAAATCCAGGATGATGCCTGACAAATGCCGCAATTTTTTGATCATCTCCCCGCTTTCGACGCTGCAAGAAGGAACGCGACATGTACTTCTCCCAATAAGAGATAAACTCAAAATATTAATTTATCTTCAGGAGGATCTCTAAAATAAAACTTGTGAATCGCCCGAACATGCATTCGAATATCGATTTACTGATGGCTTCAATTTAGCCCTCTCTTTTTCGATTTGCTTACCTGTTGGCCATCGTCTCGATGAACTTGCAATTTACAAAAGGGCTCCTCAATTTGTCCTGGAGTGCACGAAGATGCATACTTTCGGGCGTACTCTCTCTCGAATCGAGGAATATTGAGCGTAGGCGGACCTAATTATCTCGACGAATAAAACATTACTATCTGAAACATCCACTCTGTTTGAAAATGCATTCTTTATTTGCATTCATCACAATGCAGCTAATATGGTCATCTTCTGATACTTCGATTGTGCCGGCTTTTTTTCATGAATCTTCTTTCCCAATATACATTATGACATTACCTGTAAATACAGATTATTGGCACGATTTTTTGTCTCTTCTCTTTGTATGGTTCGAATGAACCACGTTTTGGGCCACGTTTTTTACATTTGGCGCGTTGAGCTTAATCTCTTCCTTTTCTTCTTCCGCCTGCTCGTTTGCGAATTTTGCTTCTGGAATGCTCTTCCGAAAACCCGGCTTCCAAATGATTCTGATTCGCCTGTTCCACTGCCCATAACTGAATTCGCTCAGCTGGGCTTGATCCGCGTAGATACAAAATTCGAACACTGGTTACCGAACAAAGCAATACGAATATCATATATGGAACCATTCTCTCCAGTTCAGCGGATCGAAATGTGATGTGGGAACTCTGCCCACAGAGATTGATTTGCATTCGGCCGAATAGTTACGGAATGCATTATCGCAAATGAAGGTTCCATCAAAATTTGCGCAGCCACCGAGCGTAGATCTTTTCGAAACCAATACGAATTTTCAGAATAAGACCGAAAACCAGAACAAGCAGCTATCGTAACGTTCGATAAACATGTAAACCATGTGCAGGTTTGTTTTTGGATTCTTCCTTTTTTTTGTTCCAGGATTTCGTTTTATTTTTCTCGCATTTATTATTTATCATCTTGTTCTTCCATCTCGCATATATATATATATATATATATATATATATATATATGTAAATATATATCTTATATATATCGCCCTCACCTATCTTACGTTCTCGAATATGTATGTTATTTTTTTTCTTTAGCTTTTCGTCGCTCTATTCTTATGTCTATAACTGATCGACTTAGATGCGTTATGTATACTTCTTTCAAGTCTAGATATAAGTGATCGATTGTGATTCGATAAACATACTCATTTAAATCTAGATTTACATGATCTTACATCATATGAATGCGTTCCTCGATTTTCATTCAAATTCAGATTTGAATGGTTTTGAATCTAGAATCCATGTCGACCTTCATGTGTTGACGCTTCATATCTTGCCATTTTTTCGTTTGAGTATTCGTTCTTTCAATGCGAACCATGTTGGATTGTCTTCTCGTCCTTCTTTTTCCTTCAGTTTCTCATTTCGTCTGTCACAGCTTCTGTTTCGCATCCAAATTTGCACGGATATATTCTTGCTCGTAACGGCAGTTGTTGCAGTCTGGCGGCGTGGTCGTTTTCGTTAAGCGTGCCTGGGTTCCGGAAGGATGACGCCCCAGCGTCTGAGGGTCCGTGTCCTCGGGGTTGGTGGCGCTCGGGCGCCCCTCAAGGACGGTTTCGTGCTCTCGGTGCTCGGCGGCCTCGCCTTCGGGATCCACTGCGACCCTCTCACACGCCCGTTCGAGACGCTGGGCATGCTGAAGCAGTTGTCGTGACTCCGCGGGCGGGGGCTTGCTGGGGCGTGGCCGGGATCGTGCTTCCGGGGCCCGTGCGCGCGGCTGCCGTGGGGGTGGCCGCGCGGGCCGGCTGGCGCGCGCCTCCGATCTAGAAGTCCGTTCGACGACGCCGTCTTTGCTGGGCTCGACAGCCTCGGCTTCGAGTTCATCCCCAAGGTGCTCATGGTCTTGCAAAGAACGGCTTTCCCAGGCTTAGCCCTGACGCTGCCGCTGCCGCTGGCCCTCTGCGAGTGCGAGCGCCAGATTCTGAAGGGTACCGAGCTGGCAGGACCTGCCCCGGTCCGCGTCGCCCCCCGCTCTACCCGTTGTGGAGGCGCCAGCTTGGTCACGCACCTGCGTATCCTCCGTCTGATGATGCAGCAGCGGCGCCCAGGAGTGCACGGCGATGCGAGAAGCACGGCAAGCTCCTCGGACTGGCGGCGGGGGTAAGAGACAAAATCCCAGAGGGTGAGCTCCTGCTTCAGTCGAGATCGTTGCGATCCTCTGAGCGAGTTGGTGATCGCAGCAACCAAATCAGTCAACCGCTTGAGGGCGCGAGCCCATGTGTGAGATTTCCCAGCCCGCCCGCCCTGAAAGACGATGCCATGTTTTGGCGAGGTTGGAGAGAGTTGAGCTTTGTTCTGTTCGAAGCAGAGGCTCACGGCCTCTCCCGGCGTGAGTTGATACTGCGGGTCACCCTCAGATGTCTGATTGGCTTGGTCTGAGCCAGCTCGTGCGAGTCGATGGGTAAGAGTGTCGACTTGTTTCGCCGCGTGATTTGTTTTTCCATTCTTGAGGCGGCCTCCTGATCGCGTGCTCTGTGCTCTAGCCTCTAGGTTTGGCCCCGTGATGGCCCCGCTAGCTTCAGCAATGTGTGCTTGCTACAGGCGTCTTTCCATGTGCGGGAGGGGTTGGTCCATGGCCGCCCCGCCCGCCCGCCATTTGTGGCGGCTCCGTATGTATGTATGTATGTATATATATATATATATATATATATATATAAAAATATATATTCTGGGAGAGCTCGAGCTTTTGTTCGGATCGGGGCAAGGGCTCAGGGCCTCTTCCGACGTGAGTTCATACCATGCGTCACCTTCAGATTTTCGACTGGCTTGGTCCTAACCATCTCGTGCGAGACTCGAGGGAGATAGATGTTGTCGACTTGCTTCGCCACGTGATTTGTTTTTCTTGCTCCGGAGGCTGCCGCGAGATCCGATGCTCTGTGCTCTATCCTCTGGGTGTGGCCCCTTCGTGGTCCCGCTAGCTTTTTAAGCATGCATTTTTTTATTATTTTATTTTTATTTTATTAATAGGTATGTATGTATGTGTGTATCCGTGTTCATGATTGAATAATGTGGTTTGGCCCGAACAACATTGAAGCAATATGGTGGGTGGGCTTGAGTATCAGTATTCGATTTGTGTTTTGGAATATCCGTAGCCAGTATTTGGAAATCAAGTGCTACTGTATTAGCAAGTTGTGATTGTAAACCGCCACAGCGAATCGAATTAAAGCATGCACATCAGACAAGTGGAAACGGTGACTCGAGACTAAGTGCTACCAGTTTAAACGCATTGTTAACGTCTTGGGCCGATCGTGAGATACGAGATACGGCAAAGTTTCAAGTGCAGGCTTTGCGAGTCATCCAGCCGCATTTGTGTGGTGCATCCTGGGAGGCGCAGCGGTGAAACATCCATTCGCGTGTGCTTGCGTGCTGGAGCACAGTCTCCTGCATGTTAAGATAAACGGCCACGTAGTGGTTTTACCAAATCTCTTCCTGGTCGCGTGTAGGAAATCCCGCGGGGTTCACTTGGTTGCAGCAAACGTCGTGCCATTGTCTTTTCCACCAAGTGTGCATGTTGTTATGACGTAGTTTCTCTCTATTGATAAACAATCAACATACACAGTAACGTCAAAAACTGTATTGTATAAAAGTTGTCAGCAGTACTCACCGTCGACAAATTAGTACATCGGTATCGCTTTATGGAAGTCACCCATTGTCCTATCGCCTGGCGTGCAAATTGTCATGCCGTAGTTTGTTGATAAATAATCAGCGTGCGCAGAAACGTTCGAAGCTGTATGATATGTAAGTTGTCAGCGACACTCACCGTCAACAAATTCATACGACGGCATTGCTTTATGAGAGTCACCCCAATACATATTTCACAAGGGAGGTTCGAATATTATGCTTTGACAGGCTTGTCATTCACAGCTACCTGATCAGACAAAGTAGTTCGCGTCATTCGATGGCCCGTGCGTGTACGCAGCAAGCTTTTCAAAACGTTGTACATGTGAGGATGTACCTTTGACGCGCGGAGTTTCACAACGAGACGATAAGCAGCCATTCGATTGAAGGCTCAGGATACCTTCGCATATTGCAGTGCTATTTCTTGGCGTCGGTTCAAGCATTGCAGCCGTGGTAGAATGAAGAACCAAGTGGCATCTCGCGCGCCAAGGTGGGTGCACGGCCGGGCCTTTTGCTGGGAGGGCCGCCGGGGGTGCGCACAAACACAAACATTGCACTGGCCCTCGATCTCTCGTCTTTCGTCGGGGCCTCGCTCTGCCCACGTGTGCGCGTGGGAGGGGCGGGCACGGCTGCCCGAAGAGCGCGCGGGGGGCGGGACCTCATGCGGGCGACCGTGGTTTGTTCCAGAGAGAGCCTCACCTTTGGCGCGCGTCTCGCCCTCGGAGGAAGCCGGTGGGAGTCCAGCGGAAGCCGGCGGGTGTAAAACGGAGGCTGGCCCGCCGGCGGAAACTTGGTGGACGGCGGCGGAAGTAAACGTGGGATGTCAACATTCTTCGAGTAGTGGCGCCGTGGGCGGGCCGTACGGGAAACAGCCGCACGTGGGACCGCGCGTTGGGGGGCTGTGTGGGGGGACCGCGCCGCCCCCCTCGCAGCCCGTCGCTCTTGTCTGCCGTGGCGGGCGCTTACCCCCAGAGGCCTCCGACTTGCTTTGGGCCGTCGTTCGGTGGGAAAGCGCACGCACGGGTTAAGGGGGCGTGGCTTAGCGGCTGGTCCCGTTTCTGCACGGAACCGATGCTCTTCTTCGCCAGATGCGGCGGCATTGGCTTGATGTTTTGGGGGGTGTTTTCCCCGATCCGTTGATCTGACGCGCACGTGCCAAATCCATGTTACCGCGCGCCCGACTTTGGGGAGCGGAGGGAATCCCAGGGGCCTGTTTTCACCACGGTTGGGCACGGGTTGGAAGACAGGTCAGCATGGTGCCCCCAGGATCGGTCTGGCGTTCTCAACACCCTGGCGCCGCCTCGGGCGGCGTCACCGGGGCGTTCCGCGCCCCAGGGTTAGGGTGCTGACACCGGTCGGCATTTCTGATTTTCCGCAGCCCGAAGCCTTACCAGAGAGACCCGCAGGCATTTTCGCCCGATGAGCTCCAAGCACTCAGCATCGTCTAACCTATCCCCGTCCCCATTGGACCATACCATCTCAGCCCCACCAGCCCCCCCCAAGGTGGGGGTAGGCCCCGCGAAATCTAAATGGAACAGTATACATCCCCATCTTGGGTGGGTAAGTCGGTCAGCGGGGCCAAGGCCATGCCAATGGAGATGAGGATCGGTTACGTGCTCAAGCACACATGTCCGCGCACGCCGAAGGGTCCTCGGAACAGCTCGTCCTCGCCTGGGGCAGCTCGAGGGCGCCCCAAGAGCGCCCCGGGAGACGATCAGTTGGCCTCCGGGGAGGGGGGCGTACGTAAGAAATTCTTGTTCGTTCATAGGTTGCCTCCAAGGTGGCCCCCCAACGGGCCCAACAGATTGTCCCAAGAGAGCCTACTGTGACGCTTTCGGCGTGCGAAAGACAACCAGCAACCTGGCAGAAGCACCGAGTCAGGAGAGCTCTAGGCAGGTGCATGGGAGTTCGTTGTTCTAATGGTGTGGTCGGAAGGGTTTTTGAATTGATCGCGAGTGAACGACAGGTGTGGTGTATGCTGTGTTCATGTGTGTCCGTGTGAGTGTTTGTGGGCCCGAGCTGTAACCAATGTATGCCAAGCGTAGGATCTAATCTGTGCCCAGCTGGGAGCCACGTTGCGTCCTGATGACGAGGCTTTGCCTGGCTCTTGTCATTAGAGCTGGAGGCAGTACGCTATTCTGGGATTCCTCGTAATCTTGGGAGCATCCAGAGTCTTCCTCGCCCATGGCGCAGTCCCACCGAGAGTCAATGCAGAAGGCAATTCGTAGACATTTGTGTCTCAACAGCTCTGGACGGGAACCCGCGATTACCACTCGATCTGGCCCCTCATGGCGGACCTTGCGGCCCCGCTCGACCCTCGGCTGGGCACGCCTGGCGAGCAGCTCAGCGGGCTCGGAAGTGGGCTCCAGGCGCAATTCACCTCGGTTGACGGCTCGCCGCGAGGTTCCCTCTCGCGCCCCCTCGGCGATGGCGGCGCCAGTGCCACGTCCGCAGCCCTCTGGCCTGTGCTGGACGTCGGGGAGCGGAGGCTCAGGCCGCGGCTGCTGGTGGCTGGCGAGTCGCTCACCACCACGCTGCAGTGGTACAAGCCCCCGAGGCTCAGCATCGTCTAACCAAGGGCCGCCACGAGGGCGCGAGGTGGTTCGCGCTTCGCGGTCAGCTCCCTCCTCCGCTTTCCCCATCCTCCTCGTCCTCCTCTCCTCCCCCTGGGGGCGGCGCGAGAGCGCGAAGTTGTTTGTGCTTCGCGCTTCGCGTAGCGCGCAGCGCGAACTTAGCTGCCCTTGCTCACCTATCCCCGTCCCCACTGAGCCATGGTGTCTCAGCCCCAGAAGTCCACCACCCAGGTGGTGATGGGCCCCGCGAAAGCCGAAGGCACAGGTGTGTCCCCATCTACGTAGGGGGGTGTCGGCCAGTGGGGCCAAGGCCACGCCAGTGGGCATGGGGATCGGTCAAACGATGCTCAGAGGCGTCCCTACACCCGCAGGGAACTTCTGGCCGACCGTGTGGTGAACTTCTCGGGGGCGGGGCTGTCGTGGTTGGGCCTGTTCTCTCTGGTCATCATGTCGACGGTCGCTGGGGACTCCCTCAGCAAGACGGCGGGCTACCTCGTCTTCGGTGTCGGGCTCGTTGCGATGCTGAACCTGTCGGCGTTCTACCATCTCCTGTGCTGGGATTGGGGTCGGGCAGAGGCTTTGTTCAGCCTTGACAAGATTGGCATCAACTCCATGATCATGGGTGCTTACACTCCGGTATGCCTGCAAGTCGGCGCCTGGTGGACTCTGGCGTTCGTGTACGCTTTGGGATGCATCGGCCTCCTCGCGGAGGTACCTTCCCTGTGTGGCCAGCGAGGTGACGGAGGTGCAGAGAGTACTACCTGGACTTGGGGCGCGAAGCTGGACTTGTTGCGCTATGTGATCATGGGTTGGGCTGTCGTCGTCGTCGCGCCGGAGATCTGGAGCTGTTTCCCGATGGTCGCGGTGTTTACCAGTGTTCTGGGCGGCGTCATCTACACGACTGGCATATTGTTCTTTGTTTTGCACCGGCTTGAATTCCATCTCGCCATCTGGCATAGTTTTGTATTCTTTGCTTCGCTGTGTTTCTATTTGGTCAACGCGATGTTCCTGGTCGGCAAGCACCATGGACCAGAGTGACGAGCCGGGAAGTCGTCACGGGAAGGGCAATAGAGCACGCACGTGCGAAACCAGAAGGGTCTCCGTAGTGGACGAAATTGCCGCACCCTCCTTCTATCTCTATGCCTCGCCCTGCGCTTCCCGACCTGAGCGGCATCCTTCGAAGAAGAACAATCAGCATAAACATGAACGTTTGGAGGTCTGCGCGGATTTCTTGGCCCAGCGCTGGAACCTCCCTGGCGCTGCCTCTTGCGCCGCTCCTGGCGCGCTCCGCGCGCGAGCGAGGGAGTCCAGTGCCGATCCAAGCTGCCCGCGCGGGCCTCCGGACGTTAATGTTTATGCTTCTTCTTCCTCTGCTAAATCATGCACGTTCTCTGCGCCGTCCAGTTCCATGCTGGCGGGCAGCCCTCTGGCGCCCGCATTCGGAGGGGCTTGGTGTACACAGCGCCGCTTGGTCTGCAAAGGAGCCAAGGAGCTCGGTTAAGAATTTCGATGTGTAGACGCTCCAGCATCCCACAGCTGACGAGGCGGAGGAAGTCAAGTACGGTGGCCGATGTCAAGGCGAGGGGGCATCTACACACCGAGCTCACCGAGATCCTCGGCTGACTGGACGGCCTGGTTTGTGCTTCTGGCCCCTTCGAGGCACCGTCCACGTGGTGGCCCTGGAAGCCGGTCGCGCTCCCTCGGCCTCGTGCCGAAGAGGGCGGCATCCTCGCCGCAGGCTTTGCGCTGCCTTCGGCTGCGCGCCAGGAGGGGGCAGGGTTCGGCCACGTGCAGGAGGGAGTAGGGGGGATGGGGGAAGGCCTCTCAGAAGCACTCTGCTTCGCAGAAGGCGTGGGCCTTGCCTGTAGATGTGAGGCTGGCGCCCTCTGAGAAGCAGTCTCCTTCTCTAAGGAGCCTCCCCCCTCCCCCTACTCCCTTGTGCGCGCCGCCAGGGGGCCTCTCCCTGTCGAGGGAGAAATCAGTATCGTTTCACCGACCTCCATCCCCATCCCCATCCCCATCCAGACCCTCACCATCTCAGCACTCTGGTTGGGGATATACCCCTTGAAACCCGAAGGACGCAGCCCATATCCCCGTCTAGGGAGGTAAATCGGCCAGTTGGGACCAGGCCCTGGCCACGCCAATGGGGATATAGGTCGGATAAACGATGCTCAAGCAAGGCACGGCATGGGTCCTCGCGGATCTCTTGGGTCGCGCTGGGCCCCGTCTGCAAGTCACCCGCGTCGCCGCCCCCTGGCGCGCTCCGCGCGCCAAGAAGGGTGGGCTCCAGCGCCGGCCCGAGAAAGCCGCGTGGGCCTCCGAACGTTGATGCTTATGCAGCCAGCGATTGTTCCATATCCACACAAACATATTAGACATACGTATAATTATGCATGTGCCGTTTTCCACAAGCATGTGTATACATGTGTAGATGTAGGTAGATGTCTTGTGCATATGGTATGTGCATATCATAAAGCGATACCTATTATCTCTCTCTCTATATATATATTATGTACACGTATGCATGTGATGTGTGTTCCTCCTCTTCTCTTCGCCCCCCCGTCGCGTCACGGCCGGGCGCAGCTCGGGAAAGGGGCCAGGATGGACCCCTGGACGGGGTCCGTGGGCTGGCCTCACGGGTCGGGGGCAGGATGCGGGGGACGGACCGCCGAGAGGGCACCCCGCCTGCTCGGAGGCAGCTCCGAGGAGCCCCCAGCAGGGGGCCTGGGGCAGGGCTCCCGGAAGAGGCCTCCCGCCCTCCGAGCAGGCCGCCAGTCCTCTCCCTGTCCCCTCGTGCGCGCGGCGCCAACTGCGCGCCTCGGCGGCGCCACGGCAGCGCGCCTGCTGCAAAAGCTCAGCTCGGCGGCGCGCCCTGGCGCCACGCTGGCGCGAATCTTCTCGCGGCAGCAGCCAGCACGGTGCGACAGCTGCTGCTCGCCCTGACTGCGAGTGCCATGGACAGTTGGCTTCAAGTCAGGGAGCACCAAAAGGGGAGTTGGTGCAGAAGGCAGTGCTGCAGCACCGTCCGCAAGGTCATGACGCGGCCCAGAAAGAAGCAGGCGGGACACTGCTGTCACATGCGCTGGGAGCAATACACACACACACACGAATGCTCCGCTCCATGCAGACAGATGCTTCATCTAACAACGGGCAATCGCGCCGGCCGATGTTGCTGTCGCAGGAGGTGGCTCATCTTCTTATCCTTGCAGTCGTCACTGTCTCCTGCCAACTCCTGCCCTCACCTCCAGCGCCGCACCCCTCCGCCGCAGCCCTCTCAGGCTGCCCGGGCGAGTGCCACAGCGAGGGAGAGCCTCCCGCCGGCGATGCCCGCGCCCACCGCGCCCGCCGCCCCGGCGGGATGCTCTCGAGCCTGTGGCACGGCCTGTTCGGGCGCGGAGCCCTCGGCTGCCGCGATGCGGCCGGCGTGTGCGACGACTCGCCCTGCGAGGCCCTCGGCCGGCCTCTCGAGACGCAGCCCTCGCCCTCAAAGATTTTACGCCTCCTGTCCCCTCTTCTGGGTCCGGCCTGATTTTCGGCTCTGCGTAAGAGTAACCTCTCTCTTCGGAGTGGCCTTTGGTGCGCGGCTTTCGGGTGGGCGCCAGGGGGCCAGACCCAAGCAAGAAGGATGCCACTTTCGCGTCGCGTGTAGGCATCGGCAAGCCGCGCACCAAAGGGCATCCTTGCCTGGGGCCCAAGGCCATTTTTCCTGGACTGAAAGGCTCGCCCCGCATCGACGATGCATCGACGATGCGGCCCGAAGTGCAGGCGGAGTTTCTCCACGCCGATGGCGCCGCTGCATCGCCGACGTCGCCGATGCGTCCCCGATGCATCGCCGGTGCATCGGCTCTGCATCGGCGATGCGGCACGACCTTCCGTATCTCCTCGGACTCTATCTAGGGGGCCTCTATTTTTGCGTGCAGCTGACTCTCGGGGAGGCCTCCAGCTTCTTGGCTGCTCCCTCGTGGCCGCGGCGGAGCGCGGCTCGAAGCACTGTCGGGCTGGGCTGGGACAGGGAGCAAGTCGTTCCAGAGCGTTCTGGAACGCTCTCAGAGCTTTCTGGGACGCTCTCAGAAGGCCGCGGCGCCCGGTACGTCTTCCAGAACCGCTTGATCTCTCTGTCTCTCTTTCTCTCTCTCTCTTTCTCTCGCTTGATCTCTCTCTCTCTCTCTCCCGATTTTCCCGTCCGATTTTGTCCCTTGGCTTCGTCTTGCGCCCTGGGTCGGGGTGGCGTCCGGGAGGGGCCCGGCCTCGGCAGACTTGGCGCCGCCTCGGGCGCGGCGGCGCGAGTCTGCCGCGGCCGCTGCCAGGGTCGAGCCGCGCGCCTCGTGGCCGCGGCGGGGCGGGGCTCGAAGCGCGGCTGTCGGGGTGGCGCGCGGGAGGGGTCCAGGAAACGCGGAGGTGGCCGTCGCCGCCGTGGGCGTTCCGTGCGCAGGTGAGCGGCGCCCCCTCCGGGCGGGGCTCCTGCGCGATCTGGGCCCCACGGCCTGCCACGCCAGCGGCCAGGGCCGCCGCCGTCGCGGCGCGAGCTCGGTGCGTTCGACCAGGCGGCGCGAGCACCCGCTCTCGGTGGATCAAGGATGGGGTCCTCAGGGAGGGTGTCCTAAGGACCCGGTGCTTCGCGAACAATGTAGGTGCACCCTTGAATCCCTTCCTACCCTTAGGACCCCATCCCTCAGGACCCCATCTTTGAACCACCGACTCGTGCTCTCCACGCGCGCGTCCGCGTGGCCAGACGTCTTCCTCTGCGCGTCCTGCCTCTGCCCCCGCGTCGTGCCCGCTCGTACTTGGGCGGCGGCCGCCTCCCAGGAGGACTCGTGGGGAGTGCCGTCTGGGTGCTCCTGCGAGGGGGCCCACATTGCCAAGGGGGGGGGGACCAGTTTGGCCCAGGAAGCGGTCTTTTCGCGTCGTGTCGATGAGGCGGCGGCCTCAGCGCGGACGCTCAAGGCTGAACGCCGCCAGCTGCCTGGAATCGGCCAAGATGATGGAGCGATCCGAGGATTGAGAAGCTGCCGATCGTTCAAGATCGAGATCCACGCGGTGCCAGACACCAGAGCCGATGTCGTCGCGGCACGAGGCTGCCGTGCGAATGCAGCGTTCCAGAGCGCGCCAGGACACTCACGGGGGCGGCCGCGGAGTCGGGATGCACTCTCCTCGGACCCGCCGGGCCTCAGAGATTCCCGAGCCGTCCATGCTGCGCCGACTTCATGCCATGCCTTCGCCTTCGGCAAACGTCTGTGCCCGACCGCCCGAGGGCGTCGCTCAAGCGCGCATCGGGAAAGCGTTGAGGTCGTTCCGGGGCGTGCTGCGGCGCACGATCTATCGTTTGGAGCCGCGAGGCCTCAAGCATTCTCGAGTTGTCCATGCCCTGCTTTGCTGCTCATGTTGCCCTCGCCTTGGGCAGACGTCTCCGCTCGAAGGTCCGAGGTGCTGGGCCGGAAGGCCTCTGGAAGCCTCTTCACGCCTCCAGGGTCCCGAACACTACCAAAAGCGCCCTAAAATCTCTACCCTCGTGCCTCGATGCTGAGAAGGCCGCAGCCGATGCTCGAGAACCAGCAGCCGCAGCTCCTCGAGAAG